AAAAAACCACTGGAATTAATTTGGGGAGACCAGACATTAAACATTGGTCTTTCCTCCAGGACACTCATCACTCAGGTGCTTCTCTCATGCTGCCCCATGGGGTTATGTCTTCATTTAGGTCTCATCCAGCTCTCTTAGGGTATTTTAAAGTCTTTATGAGCTATGTGAATAAGCATCCCCATAACCTACTGATTACTATATACTGATCTTATTCCCTTAATGAGCACCAATCAGTTCTAAGTCTCCTGACTGCATGCCCTAGAGGTGACCTCAGACGACTTGTTGGGTGTCGGTCGTAACGGGCATTTTCTTGTTTCTGAGTGACGGCTGCTGCAGTTTGCAAGATGACTTACTCTGCTGAAAAGATACACAGTGTGATCCGATTCTTTTGCAGCATCTGTGATTACTTCTCTTTCAATAAGATAGTGTAGTAAATCACAATAAACAGGTGTCTCAGTGTCACACTTTTTCTTTTAATATACCATTAGGTCCATTTCCCCTTACATGGCATTTGCCTGTGCACAGAAAAGCACGAGGCACCACAGTATTCTGGGATGCCCGCAGAGCGGGCCAGGGACCCGGGTGGTGCAGGCTGAGCTCTTACGCGTGAGCACAAGCACACACACAACTTCAGAGAGCACGAAGGGAGGAAGCTGAGGGAACCGACAGCCCAGCGCCTGCACTTTGCTCCTCACCTTCTTTTGATCTAGAAAACACTCCGTGGGGGGGCTCACTGGGCGCTTTCTGCCACGGGCGTGTGAACAACCGCAGTGTGCAAACAGGGGAGCAAGCAGTTCTAGAAAACCCTCACCTGCTCATCACTCCTGTGGTAGTCGTTGTCCTCTTCCGGCTTCTCTTCTGCTGTTTCTTTGCTCAAACTGTCATCTGCTTTGGTTTCACCTTTTAAAAATACAGAAAATACTGTATTACAAAGTCTAAAATGTTAAGCCAGTATTTTTTTTAACTCTATAGTATACTTAAAATGCTATAAAGATTTATTCTAATAGGAGGGTTTGGACCCAAAGAGCATGAGTCAGAGACGAGCTGGCAGACAGAGTGTCTAGTAAGATGCCGCATTCCTTAACGTGCAGGAGCTGCCAGGGAGCTGCAGGCGGCCGGGCGGGGCATGGAGCAGACCCCATGTGCTGTGCAAGGTGACGGCGTCGCCCCCACTCACTGACGTGGGCTCCCGCAACCTCTACTGCTCCAACAGCACATTTAAAAGTCAGGCTTCGCCTCAGCTGAGGCAGTGGGGACAGGTCCTGGGATCCCAAAACACATCCCTAACTGCCTCTCCAGGGCCTGGGATGTTAGCTGTCAGCTCCATCTTCCTAGGGAAACAGCCAGGCCCTCTCCTTTCTTCTCAGAGTATCAGAAATACAGGGCAGTCTAGAAATTTCTTAGGAATTTGTGAGGTCCACTAGAACAATAGCATGGTATCAAGAATCGAACACTCTGTTAGGGCAGCTAAGATTTTAAATACCAGTAATTTTACGCAGTGGCCAGTGTCATTTGGCCATTCCACAACAAAACAAAACCAAAGGGTCTTCAGGAGCCCACCTTCCACACCATCCACACACTGCACCCCACCTCCCTGCAGTTTTGAGGGCCCCCCTGTGCTTCCCTCACATCACCCACCATGTGGCCCCCTCTGTCCACGACCCCCGATTCTCAGCTCTGCCCCATTTTCCCATCACACCAGAAGTGACGAGAACCCTCCAAATGTCCGCACGGGCCCCGCGTCCCCCACAGCCGCCTTGCCCCACAGTCAGCCTCTTCCGTAAACTCCCAAGCTCCCCATCACCACCCTGACGCTCACTCACCATTCCGATGGGAATCTAAGTGTTGCTTTGCAGAGCAAGTCTCCCCCTTGATGTCTCCAGGCACTTCCATGCCTAATTTGTGGTAGAATTCCCTCTGTTTTCTCATTTCCGCTATTAAAAATTAACATATAATCTTTAATCTTAAGTAGGTAATGAATGACATTAAAGATCTGTTCACAAGCATCATATGCAGGAAATGACAGAGCAGATCCCAGAGATGTGATGAAGAGGCGGGAGCCGTCGCCAGCCCCAGACAGCAGCAGGGCCTGGACTGGCCAGTGCCGCCCCCCCCGGCTGGCCGAGCCCCACCAGCGCCCAGCGTGCGCCAGCTGCCAGAGGCCGGGCAGGGCGAGAGGGGCCTCCCCAGACTCAACGGGCCCTCCTCGGCCCTCGGCCACCATGCCCTGGGACGCTGGCATTCATGCACGTTCAGGAGGCTCCTGGGCAGCACATCCAACCCAGGCTGCTGGCTTTCCTGGCATCCTTTCGCGGCCACTGGGCCCTCTGAGCCCAAAGAGGCCATCAAGGGGCCACGAAGAAGCTCTCATTACCTAAGGGAAGGGCACGGGCAGCCTGTGCCAGGGTCCCCTGCTCGCACCTGCAGGGTGGGCGCCTCAGCAGTTCATGGACAACCGGGTGTGTCTGATGGGTAGAGTGTCCCCTGGTGTCCATGGCTGGCCATTGCAGCTCGCCTAGATCCCCCCACAGAGCAAGGGCTCCCTGCTGGCTGGCCCCCATAGCACTAATGTCCACGGGCCCCTACCCCCTGGTGGTCAGGATGCCAGCCCCCACTGGCTGCACCACAGGTTCTCCAGGCGGCGAAAGAACAGCAGGACCTGGCTGCACCTTGCACACTCCAGAAGACCAGTCTGAGACACGAGGCAGCGACTGGCCAACTTTTATCAGGAGTCCCACCCTTGTGACTCTAAAGCTCACGTACAGATAATGAAGTGACCTATCCTTGCCCAAAGGCCACAAAGCAGGTAGCAAAGAAAATCTGCTCAAACCAATGACCTGTGCATCACTATGAGAACGTGTTTGCAGCTGGCCCACTGACATGTCACTGAACTCTGCACCCTCATGCCTGTCTCCCTGACACACCACGAGCTCTGAGAGAGCCAGGATCTCCAGGTGGGCCCTCCTGGACCCTACCCAGACACTTCAAAACACCTGAGTGTGCAGGAAGGGGCAGATGCCTGGGGCAACAGGCACAGATGGAAACAGACACCGCCCGACTGCACGATGAGTGCAGGCAGCGGAGGAACCAATTCGGTGAAGCGCCAGACCAGAGTCACCTGGATAATCTGGGATGAGCTTACAAAGAAACGCTTCCATTAAATGGTCAGATAAAAGCTGGTTGGGCATGAAGGCCTTAAATGCACAACTTGTGGGTACAAAGCAGTTCCTAGCAGGGTTTTGGCAGACGTGCTGGTCCTCCACCTAACACCCTGAAATGCCTTGCTCCAGTTCCCATTTAAAAATCTTCACTCATCAAAGCAACAGTGCTCAATGTCAGGAATATATGGGTCTAGAAATGTCACCTGGGGCAACTTTTCAAAAATGCAACGTGGCCATATATGAAAAGTGTTTAAAAACTTAACTGCTGACCCAAAAATTCCTCCGCTGGGAATAACCAGGTAAGTGATCAAGGAGGTATGAATGCAGATAGTCACTGGGGCTTATTTACAACACTGCAACAAGGGACGACTAAAATGCTACTTGTCCCATGGGCCAGGTCCACCAGAGGGGTCCACGCCCCCACCACGCACCCCACCCTCTGCTCCAGCAGACACTTCCAGCTGAGGCCAGCAGGGCCTCAGACCCTTCGCAACCCTGCATTCACAATACCACAGCACCCGCCGCTCACTGAGCCCACCCACAGGATAAAGTAACTCACTGGCTACCTGGGTTAGAGGGCAGATCATTGTCTCCGTGGGAGACTCTGCAGCCACTAAAAAAAGATGATATGTGTCTCAGGGACATGAAGCACCACAATATATTGTTAGAAGAGAGGTCACAATATGTGCTAGGTATACTGTGATCTTGCTTTTTGTGAAAATTAGAAGTGGACATGGGATGCTGTGCGAGTTGAGGGAAGACAGGAGAGGCCGGCAGACGTGGCGATGCCCTGGTGGCTGGCCCAGCTGGGGATGCATCATAGGGAGCGGGTCACCTGCTCGCTGGAGCAGCTCAACAAAACCCACTGTGCATCCTGACACCCTCTGGGCACCTCAGCCTGAGAAGCCACAGGGCCACTGCTGAGCTCAGCTCCCGGGAGACCAGCTGCTCCTCACCACCTAGCCACGACGCCAACGCCACGTCAAGACCCAGCCTGGGGCCGCCAAACGCGTCCATCAGAGGCAGAATAAATATTCAGGACCGTGTGAACTCAGTGGCAAAGCTGAGATACTACATAGGTGCTTACGTAACAGGAGAGAAAACGAGTTTTTGTTGGTGAAACATACACATAAAACACATACATGAGTGTATGTCTCAGGCACGTTCTCATCATCTTGAACAGACCGCCAACCATCAGACAGAGGAAAGCAAGTCTTACTTTTACCCTCACTCCTCTGATGCTCCTTTGTTCTTTACTGGATCTGAGTTTCTGATCTGTATCACTTTCCTTCTCTCTGAACTTTTAACAACATTTCTTGCAAGGCGGGTCTACTGTCAATGAATTCCCTCAATCTCTGAGAAAGTCTTTATTTCCCCTTCACTTTGAGGGTAGTTTCACAGGGCACAGAATTCTGGGTTGTGTTTTCTCTCTGAACACTGTAAATACTTCCCTGCGCTCCACTCTTGTGTGGTTTCCGAGAAGGAGGGTGCGACTCTCGCCTCTGTCCCTCTGTGGAGCTTTTACTCCAGCTCCTTTCGGGATGTATCTGCCTGTGGAGCTTTCCTGGCATTTGTCTTGGCTGGTGCCTATGCTTCCGGGACCTCTCCAGTGTCCGACATTCATCTGGGGAGAGCCAGTCATTCCTGGTTCGGTTGCTCTGCCGTCTTTCCCTCCGGTGCCGCCCTCGTGTGTATTACGCCTCTGCACCTATCCCACGGCCTCCGGACGTTCTGTTTGGGTTTTTGTTTTGTTTTAAAGGTACGTGCTCCTTGATGCTTGATTTTGGAGGTTTCTATTGCACATCCTCACCCTTGCATTCTCTCCCAGCTGCATGTAGCCCCAAAGCCCACCAAAGGCGGTCTTCATTTCTGCCCAGTGACTTCAGTCTCTGCTTGCTTCCTGTCTCCCAGGTTCTCCATGCCCCCACTCACTCTGCCCACCTGCTCTGGCGCGCTGGCTCCTTCACCCAGTGGCTCTTCGGTGTGAGTCACAGCTGCCTGAAGTTCTGCTCTGACAGTTCCAACATCCTGGCCACACCTGTTTTTGATGCTTGCCCTGTCTCCTCAGTATTTTCCTGCGTTCTGCCTCCGTAACTTTCTCCAGCTGGTGGGACGTGATGTGCCAGGTAAAAGGAGCTGCTGTGCACAGGCCCTTGCTCTCTGGTGAGCAGTGGGGAGGGAAGCATTCTCCAGTCCTGTGATGAGGTCTCCATCTTCCCAGAAGCCCATGGCCAGAAGGGGAACACTGGTGTGTCTCAGGAGGGGCCGAAGCTTGCCCGCCCCTGGTCAGGGGCTCTGTGAATGCTCTCCGTCCTTGTTACAGAGGGCAGTGCTCTGGGTGTTTCAGATGGCTCTCTTTCCCTCCTGCTGCCGGAAACATGAGAAGATCTTTCTGCTATTTACTGAGAGAACTTGGTCAGGCTCCTAGAGGTGAAATTCATAGAAGCGCGGACTCCTTCGCCAGGTCTCCCTGAGGTTTTTGCCTCTTACACGTGTCCACCCTTACAGAGATCCCAGGGCAGGTTTCCTGCCCCAGCCTCTGCTCTGGGAAGCTGGGACTCCCTGCAGCCTGTCGCTCTCCCACCACAGGGCCGCAGTCTACCCTGCTTCCTCCCTTATGATCCAAGAAGAGCTATTCATTTCTCAGATGGTCCAGCATTTTACCTGATGTTAGGGTGGAGTGGTGACCTCTGTGCTTCTCACATGCAGAACAGGAAACCAGAAGTCACAAAATTCAAAGTATGGCAATAAACACTGAGTAAAATTTTTTGTAGTACTAATGAGAGCAAACTCCTTTGGGGCTAATGCTGTTTAACTGGGGTTAAAAGTCAGGGCTCCTTATCACCAGAATTCAACAAATGTTCTGTGATGACATTTTACATACTTCACTCTTGGAAACGTCTTTTCACACAGAAATACAGACATCGGTTCACAAGCAAATGGTTTTATTTGAGTGCAGTCATCAGAAAGCACCTGCGGATTCTAGTGGGTTCTTCTCTGGGTCATGGGTCACTCTGCAGAAACAGTCGCTTTGCACTAAAGGTTAGAGAGAAGCTCAACTGCAGTTAAATGGGTTCTGAAATATGGAAACTGCCTTTGCACTTACTTGAAGGCCCCAAAACCCCCCACTGGACCTATAGCTTAAGCTCAGAAAACCAAGCTGAAGCAAATCTTGCTTCTCCTAACTTCTGCCAGCACGGGAGACCTGGAAAGCAGCTTGGTGTTGCTTCTGATTCAAGACACGTTAGTGGTTGCTAAAATGACTATTGCATTTTAGGTTTTGTACAAGTACTGGTTTTCCTCATGATGTTAAGCTGAATTCATTAAGAAACATTGCCAGATCTTCAGCGAACGATAATTTCCAAAGCCATTCAGTGTTTGACATAGTTGCTAAAGGTGCTTTTTATTCAGAAAAACTTCAATCTGCCCTTAGCTAAAGAATAAATAAATAAAAAGCACACAAAAAACCTTTACCACTGCTAAGCACTGAAATGCTATATGGTAGGAAAAATCAGGATTTCAGCTTCTAATTCTGACAAAGATTCATACAACTAATGATGGTTACATTCGAAGAGCAAATGAAGTCTACCGCTGACCCTCCTGGTTCAGTCACATCTGAAAGATTCAATTATTTTCTGTGAAGTACCTGCTGATGAGTAATACAGTGAAACTGAAAACACCTCACATTTTCACGAGCTTGGTTTATTTGTCTCATTAAACATTTTCCGGATCCACACATATTTTTACTACCATTGGCTGTAACACATCTTTGTGGATTCCACTTCAGGCTGTACTGAATTAGATTTTCTCGCCTGCTTTGGAAATACCCTCACCTGTGGCTGTTCTGTGCAGACTGCCTGAAGACGCTGACCCTCCCACCACTTCAAAGTCACTGATGAACAGCAACAGAGAACTAGCGACATCAGGAGCCAAGGAAAGGCCCCCAAAGTCATCTGCCTTGTCTTTCATTTGACTGGTGCTGCTGCTTCCCAAAGACTCAGCTTACCGAGGAACTGGTCTCACTCGGAGGCTGATGGTCTTATACAAACTCATTTTCTCTCTGAACATATTGCTTCAGATGCTGCAATCAAGTAAGACTTGATTAACTTATCATTACTAAATGGCCGCCTTGTTTGGCTAAAAATTAGCCAATGAGAAATTCACTTTGACTGTGGCTTTATATGCGTCATACACTTTTGTGAAGAAATTCTGCTGTTGTGAACTGTTCTGTTTTGATTTTCAATTCTTTCAAAATGTTGCTTTCTTGTAAGTTGAGAATATTTTGTGAGTGTTTAGTCTGGTCATATCAACACATATATTCTTTTATTTTAGTACAGCTATAGAGTCACTGCATAAGAAACACGTGCTTTGCCAGCTAATAATGGCAATTCTGTAACAATCTACTCACTGTGGCCTAAAAGTGCAACATTTGTAGTCCATGCTTCTCTTTTCCCTTGTTTAACATTACGGGGCATCTACTGGCAATAAAAAAAAGTCTCAACACACACAGCTCCTGAAACGCTGTCGACCCACTGCTGTGCTGCCGAGAGCCACAGTGCACGTGTCCACGTAGCCGGCCGACACTCAGCGGCCACCGTGGTGTCAGAATGACACACACGTGAGTTCTGTTCCAATGAAACTATTTATGGACGATGGAATTTCAACTAACAAAATTTCCACATATCACAAATATTCTTCTGCTTTTGATTTTTTCTAACCACTTATGGTTGTAAGAACATTCTCAGCTCTCGAGCCAGACCTGGCCTGTAGTTTACTGACTCCTGCGCCAGTAGTGCCAAGAGATGAAAGAAAAACACAGGGAGGCAGATGCCCCGACCAAGCGGACCCACTCCAGAACTGAGCCAACAGCGTATTCATCCCTATCCACAGAAGTATCTAAAAGGATGTTCACAGTATCCCCCTTTGGTTAAATGAAAGATGAGAAACATCTTAAATACCCATCAGGAGGACTGGTAAGCGGGTGCACAGCCAGGCACTCCCAGGTCTGGAGCACAGCCCAGCGCTCTGACGAGCGTGACTACAGGCAAGCCCCGAGCGGTGCGCAGGAAGAGGGAGGGCAGCACGTTACTGAAAACTGATACTTAGACAAATTTATAGATAGGGAAGCTGCTTCTGGGGAGACAGGTCTTTTAAAATTATAAAAAGACGAAATAACAAACTAAAAAAACCAATTCTCTACCAAAAAGGTCTCATCTACAAGAGAACAGAAACACAGAGGCAGCCGGCGGCCCACATCCAGGAGCAGCTGACTTCTAGTTCCTAGAATGCGAGAGAGGGCGGGAAGCAGAAGACAGTGCCCAGAGGCGCCGACAGGCCGCCCCCCCAGGAAACTTTATGTGAGCACTGGGAAGAGGCCCCCACCGGAGGAACTGGGTCAGGACTGCTGGTGTAGCAAAGGAAACCAAAGGAAGCACACACACTCGGTATCAAGGAAACTGTCAAGTTGCTAAGGGTTCCAAAACTACAGAGATCTTTGAAGATCAACAAAAACTGAACGTTTGAGAGACAGAGAGTGAGCCCTTGCCAGACAGACAAGGCCCTGGCTGGGAGCAGGCCCTGGGTGGCCCCGGCGCTGGGAGCATGAGCCTGGAAAACCTTGGGGTCTGTCTGCCGCTTCCACATTCAGGTGGGAGTTCCACATTCGGCAGGCTCCCACCTGCGCCGTTCTGCACACCAAGCGAGGGTGTGTGAGCACCCCAGGTGCACAGCACAGGAAGCCAGTAGGGTCTTTTACATGCACCATCTTCTTCATAAGCAAAAGCTCCATTAAAACGTGTCACTGAGCACCCAACACACTGACCATGGCCTTGAGATGCCACATCAAGTCTAGGGAAACCTGGGCTCCACAGGCTGGGACTGCGTGGTGGCAGGCGGTCAGCAAGATGAGCCCAGACCCCACCCATGCCAGAGGCAAGGCCTCCTCAGACTCATGAGGGACCTGGGAGCCGACCTGGCCAGAGAGGGGACAGGGATTCAAAAAGGACAGTGGCCACAGTGAACTGAGGAGATGCAAACGTGTTCGAATCCAGACACGGCTGGAGCAGCAGTGAGCGACTGCCGCCCTCTGCGTGAGCCTCTTCTGACAGGGACTGAGCGTCAGGGCGACTAAGAGGGGAGGCGCGCGTGGGGCACTCTCCAGTGGGGAGGCGGGTGCGCGGGGGCCCCCGGTGGGGAGGTCGTGCGCGGGGCAGCCTCCGCCCGTAAGCGGACCCATGGCTGGCTCTGCTGCCCATGGTCCCTCAACAGCCTCGGGCGCGTGGGCACACGCAGCAGGCTGCCACACCTGTCCTGGAAGGAGCCAGCTGAAGATGCCAGCTCCCAGGAATGGGTGCCCGCTGCCAGCCCAGAGTTGGAGACAAGGGTCCAAGTGGGCAGAACTGTCTGCCTGAGGAAGACCAGACCTGGATCCGGACTGAAACAGGTGGTCATGTCAGCACCCCTGGGTACCGACCCTGAAGAACCAGTACTCTGCTTAGATTCACAGCGTGCTGTGGTCACTCACGTGCTTTACAAACCGACCTCTGGGGATATAAATGGCGACGTTTACAGATGAAATAAGGAGCAGCAGGGTCACGTGCTCACCACCAGTGACAAGTGCCACGCTGGGTAGGAAATGCATAGAGTGTTTATGAGGTTCTGCCTAATTCTGTATGTTTAAAATACTCTATAATAATTTTTTAAGATACCAATATTTTATTTTGATGTATTCTCTGCCTTTCCCAGAAATAAAAACCTTTTCAGATATCAAAATATGATTGTGTCCATCTCTACACACTCAGGAAATTCAAGTTCTTGCAAGAATGAATTTTGTGAACAGTGAAAGACGACTACGACAGCATCACCACCCAAACTACGCCGTGAGGCCAGGTAAGGCCCCCGGACCTGGCATGGAGGCTGTCATTTTAAGTCTCAGCCTTCATCTGAAATATCACAGTGAGAAAATATAGCCCAAATGAATTCTCAACATTTCTTGCCCTTGAAAGAGATCCAGTGGTGCGGGCGTGCCAGCCCACCGCCCAGCCAGGGATGGCATCAGGAACAGTGTCCCTCCCCAGTCCTCCCACAGGAAGGGCTGAACTAGGAAGGCTCAGCGTTCAGAACCGCGGAAACACACTAAAAAGAGCAGCCACTTCCACTTTCAGGATATGTGTACCACTTCTTTCTATTCTCAGTGAGACGGACTAAACACAGTCAACCTGCAGACGGCCAGCTGCCGGCCTCACCCCCTTGCATGCATGAGGGAGGGGGTGCCCCATTCCCTGCTGCGCTCTCAGGGCTGGCACACATGGCACACACCCAGCGCTTCCCAAATGTGGGGGCAGAGTGGGGCCAGCACACAGGGTGCCAGCTAACTAGAGCAGGGGCACCCAGGTGGTGGCCCCAGAGAAAGGAGGCTCCTTGGCAGGACCAGGCCCTGCGGAAAATGTCGGTGCCACACGCGCAGGGGTTGTGGGGCAACACGCTGACACTCACCTTCCTGGAGGCCCGGAACCAGCTTGTACACAATGTCCTGCATGGTTCTGTCATGACTGTCAAAGAGCAGACAGGGGGTTAGCTGAAATTTCCATTCAACAATGCCCGACCCACAGCCACGGATTTGTGTTTTGGTTGCATTTTGCTTCCGGTTTGCACTTTAAAAAACATGTGTTCTAGCAAAAACTTCTGCTCATTATACACGACCCAAATCAATGCATCCTTCCATTTAGGGTTAGCTGTGTGAGCACTCCAGATGGCCAACACAGGCCAGGCCCTGCCCTACCCATGGGAACCCAGCCGGCCCCCCCGACGGGACCCCCTGCCCCCCGTGGGGCGCTTCCTGAGGTCTCCCACTGGACAGGAGGCTTTTTTCTTTAATGCTTCCAAATAATGCAGAGATAAGCCTCAGACGAGGCCTGGCCTGTGGTTCATGGTCGATGGTTCTCTGCCGAGTGGCTCAAGCACAGTATTCCAGTGTGGTTCTTACTCCAGGCTGCTACTTCTAAACATAAATTGCAATTACATTTAGGGAACTGTTTTTTTGGGGTGCTAAGAAATGTTACAGAGTTTCTTAATTTTCAAATATCATCCATTATAAAGAACACCCTTATGTGCCCAAATAATACCAATGAACACATGATCGTGTGTCACAAAATGTATGGAAATGCAGCCATCAGAGCTCATCCAGGGCACACTCAAGGGCCACATGTAGGGCCCACCGTGATGTACAACCTGGCCCTGCGGAGACCACCACCCGCCTTTCCGGGGACTTCTAAGTTCTAACCGAGGCCAGGCGCTCAGCTTCCTGTGACAACCCAGCCGGGTGTGGCGCAAGTGCTCCACGTCCCTGGCCGGGACCGGCTGACACACGCGTCCCTCGCGTCCCTCGGCGCCACGCTCCTTTATGTGCATCTCTGCACGGAAGCATTTAAAATGCAGCTGGCCCTCAGGACGTGCTGCTGGTACTTCCTGCGGGTCCCTCCCGCTTGTTGTACAGTGTGCTGACCACAAGGAGGGGACACGGGGCTTAGCTCTGCCAAGAGCGCCACACCTGGGACCCGCCTGCCCGGGCAGGGTCCTGTGCAGCCGGTGTGCGGGCGTGGGGACCCGTCAGGAGGGCGGGGCCACTGGAGCCTTCCTCCAGAATCCAGCCAGACACGGGTGCTTGGGGGCAGTCCCTGACGTGAGGGCAGTTTCCCTGTGGTCCCACGCTTCCCCTCCACCCTAGAGGAAACACACCCCCTCCCACCCTTTGCTCATTCTGGGGCCTCCAGGCCCACGTGACAAAGGCTCTTGGCCCTAAGGCCTGCCAGCCCACCAGACCCTGAGAGCTCAGCCTCAGCATCTGTGTGTGGCCAGTCTGTGGCACTGCCCACCTCCTGTCCTGAACTGCGGCTGGGCCTCCCAGGTGACCCAGTGGGTCCGCCACCCCCTGCCCGAGGCTGGAGGCCTTCCCCCCGAGGCAACTTCGTGGTCTGGAGGTGGTGGATTAGAGCAGGAAGCCAGGCAGGTGCAGCCAGTAAAGCTGCGCCAGGACAAGGCTCTGAGGCAATGGCAGAGCTGGCATCAGGGCAGGCAGGCGAGGGGAGCACCCGGACCAGTGTGGGTCTCAGTGGGGCTCCGGAAGTGAGGAGTGAGGACAGAATTAAGGGAGATTAGGGAAGAGGCAGGTGCTCCTGACACCAGGCAACAGGGCAGGACACCCTCCCCAAGTCACCATGCAACAAATCAAACACCTGGCAATGCCAAGGGAAGGCAAGGGCAGCCAGGAGGGCATGGGAAGGCACACACTCCACACTGCAGGGGCTGAGGGGCACGCGGTGTCCGCCTGGGGAGCCATCACACACCCTGAGTCTGCAGGACACCACTTGGAAGTCCACCCACCACACGGTGGTGCCTGTACCCAGGACATACGGGCTGTGGCCGAGAACACAGCAGGCTGCCTGTGAGTACCTGGACAGCAGGTGGGCCCACATTCCGGACAGGTGGGGGCTCTGACCAGGCCCCTACCACGTGGCTAGAAGTGGCTCTTTTGCAGTGCTACGTGTTTGTGCGTGTGACCTATGACCTACTTCACAACTTCGGAGAGGAGCATGCGTCCCCCAGACTTCTCTCCGGACTGCCTCTGCTCGCGGGGTGTGAGGAGCGCTGTGCTTCACCGCACAGCTCTCAACAGCCAGGTCACTTAACGTCCCCCCTACAAGCAACAGGCCAGTACCTCCTGCTCCCCTCGGCCCAACCCCCAAATCAGGGGGGTGCCCACCCAACGCCTTCCTGAGAGCTGAGGAGGGGCCCGGGGCAGGGTTTGGCATTCAGGCTGCACAGGGGCAGCAGGCCCAGATCTGCGGCAGGAGGTCCTGGTCTGCTGTCTGCTCCAGGGTGCGCCTCAGCCAACTTGGGGCAAAGCCGGTGAGCCAGCTCCGTCCTGAGGTCTCTCAGGTGATTCCATTTGAGCAGACGCTGCTGGACACTGGTGGGAACAGCCCGGACATGCCGTGGGCAGCCGTGGCTGGCGGGGCTGGGGGCACACTTGGCCGCCGCGAGCAGTCACAGGCGCCCAGCAGTAGGGGGTCGTGGGCTCCGGCTGTGGGCACCAGGCCTGTGCGCTTACCCGATGTACTGCAGCGGGTGGCTCTGGTGGATGACGATCCTACACGTCGGGCAGGTGTTGTTCTCCTCCAGATACTTGACCAGGCAGCTCCGGCAGACTGTTTGCAGAAGCACATTCTCATCAGAAAGCTCACCCAGCACCATGCTGCCAGCCCCACGTCAGGACGTGGCATGTGCCAGGCCACGCGGCTGCCTCGGGGAGCCCCTGCCTCACCACCTGGCTCGCAGCACTGGGCTCAGGGACAGGGGGAGCAGAGGTTAGCTTAGACGGGCAGGGCACAATGCCTGTCTGCCCAGCATTCTCACCCAGGGACCAACAGGTAACTTCTTTTTTTTTTTCCTTTTTTAAAAAATTTATTTATTTTTATTAAGGTATTATTGATATACACTCTTATGAAGGTGTCACATGAAAAAACAATGTGGTTACTACATTCACCCATATTATCGCGTCCCCCCCATGCCCCATTGCAGTTAAGTTCTAAGTGAGGAGTGAGGACAGAATTAAGGGAGATTAGGGAAGAGGCAGGTGCTCCTGACACCAGGCAACAGGGCAGGACACCCTCCCCAAGTCACCATGCAACAAATCAAACACCTGGCAATGCCAAGGGAAGGCAAGGGCAGCCAGGAGGGCATGGGAAGGCACACACTCCACACTGCAGGGGCTGAGGGGCACGCGGTGTCCGCCTGGGGAGCCATCACACACCCTGAGTCTGCAGGACACCACTTGGAAGTCCACCCACCACACGGTGGTGCCTGTACCCAGGACATACGGGCTGTGGCCGAGAACACAGCAGGCTGCCTGTGAGTACCTGGACAGCAGGTGGGCCCACATTCCGGACAGGTGGGGGCTCTGACCAGGCCCCTACCACGTGGCTAGAAGTGGCTCTTTTGCAGTGCTACGTGTTTGTGCGTGTGACCTATGACCTACTTCACAACTTCGGAGAGGAGCATGCGTCCCCCAGACTTCTCTCCGGACTGCCTCTGCTCGCGCGGTGTGAGGAGCGCTGTGCTTCACCGCACAGCTCTCAACAGCCAGGTCACTTAACGTCCCCCCTACAAGCAACAGGCCAGTACCTCCTGCTCCCCTCGGCCCAACCCCCAAATCAGGGGGGTGCCCACCCAACGCCTTCCTGAGAGCTGAGGAGGGGCCCGGGGCAGGGTTTGGCATTCAGGCTGCACAGGGGCAGCAGGCCCAGATCTGCGGCAGGAGGTCCTGGTCTGCTGTCTGCTCCAGGGTGCGCCTCAGCCAACTTGGGGCAAAGCCGGTGAGCCAGCTCCGTCCTGAGGTCTCTCAGGTGATTCCATTTGAGCAGACGCTGCTGGACACTGGTGGGAACAGCCCGGACATGCCGTGGGCAGCCGTGGCTGGCGGGGCTGGGGGCACACTTGGCCGCCGCGAGCAGTCACAGGCGCCCAGCAGTAGGGGGTCGTGGGCTCCGGCTGTGGGCACCAGGCCTGTGCGCTTACCCGATGTACTGCAGCGGGTGGCTCTGGTGGATGACGATCCTACACGTCGGGCAGGTGTTGTTCTCCTCCAGATACTTGACCAGGCAGCTCCGGCAGACTGTTTGCAGAAGCACATTCTCATCAGAAAGCTCACCCAGCACCATGCTGCCAGCCCCACGTCAGGACGTGGCATGTGCCAGGCCACGCGGCTGCCTCGGGGAGCCCCTGCCTCACCACCTGGCTCGCAGCACTGGGCTCAGGGACAGGGGGAGCAGAGGTTAGCTTAGACGGGCAGGGCACAATGCCTGTCTGCCCAGCATTCTCACCCAGGGACCAACAGGTAACTTCTTTTTTTTTTTCCTTTTTTAAAAAATTTATTTATTTTTATTAAGGTATTATTGATATACACTCTTATGAAGGTGTCACATGAAAAAACAATGTGGTTACTACATTCACCCATATTATCGCGTCCCCCCCATGCCCCATTGCAGTTAAGTTCTTATTAGTTAGCCTGGAGATCATACGATTTTCTTAGTACAACAGCAGATAAAAGTGTGATGAAAGCAACATAAAATTATGCCCAATACCTAAAAATATGATTAACTTTAAAATTAAAATTCTATCAAAATTGGCAAATACTTAATTTTCCAAAGTGAAAAATCATGGCCAAAAGTCACTTGTACCACAGGTGACGTCCTTCGCACAGCTCCTGAGGCCTGGGCTCCTCAGCACGAGGGCTGCGCTCCGCAGGCCGACCACGCGGGCGCACAGCCTCACACTAAGCGCACAGCCGCGGAGCCCCAGGGTCACACTGGCACCCGCAGTCGACATGGTGCTTAAAGAAGACAAAAGTCCAGGTTCAGCACGAGCTGGGAGCCATCTAAAAATGAGGAGCAGAGCCACTAGATTCCTCTGGGTAAGAAGCTTAAGGAATTCATCTGGAAATTTTAAAAATACGCATTTCTGCCCACAAGACACGATCATTCTCTCATACGCCATCTCTGCTCTGGCCGGTATGCAGAATTCCCTAAAGTTTAGTGCCCTGTACTTAGCTTCCTTAAATGATCTCCACTGAAATCACCCACGGTATTTTTAATTTGAATAATTTTTCTGATTTATCCTCAAGATCTTTATTCCTGCTCCTGTGTCCCACTTCGTGCTGGAGCTAAAAGCTCCTGATTTAAAAAAAAAGGCCAAAGTACCAAGAGCATAAGGCTAAACACTGTCAAAGGCCACGTTCCAGAACATTCTGAGCACACATATGCAGACACTCAGTCAGATCCCCCCAACAGCTGTCAAAGGCCATGCTCCAGAATACCCTGCACGTGTACGTACACGTGTGCAGACACTCGGTCACCGTGGTCGCGTCGATGAGATACCCGCTGCACAGGCGGCAGGTGATGTGGGCGTTTATGTCCCAGAGTTTGATCTTTCTCGTCAACATCTTTGGCTTCTGCAAGAGAAAAGCCCATACTGATTAAGAGCCGGAACACTGTGACCACTCCACCCCAGTCTAAGCCCACCGGGACCCACACCACAACGGACAGTCCTGAGGACGGGCCTGCTCCTGGCACTTGGGCCCCCCACGCCGCTTCCCCCAAGTGCCCGTGCAGTCCCTTGGTCCAGGCTCCCCACCCTCTGCTCTCGGGATTGAGCACAGGCCAGCTGAAAGGGAGGCCAAGAGCAGGCAGGCCTAGCCCAGACCGGGGCACAAGGCCCGGGGCCGTGCTGGGTCCAGGGCGGGAGGCCAAGGGGTCTCTGCCAGGGCTCCTGACGCCTCTGTGAGCATGATGGCTGAATGACCGCAGCGGGGGCCCCAGAGCCCTGAAGCCCTGCATGATGCCTAGGAGGGCAGTCCCTGATGAGGCTCAGTGTGGGCAGACAGATGGTGCAGGACGTGGAAGCTGCAAACCCTGAAACGTGCCGCCCAGCATGTCCTTCGGACACTAGAAAAGGTTGGGAATACCAACGTGCTGGGGAGGCCCAGGGATGCGGGCAAGGGGGGCCACCAGCCAGGTGTGCCCGAGTTGTTCTTGAAGTGTATCTCAATAACTGGACAAGTGCCACAGATGTTCACTGCAATTGCTTAAAATGGTAAAACTCAGAAAACCACCAAAGAATTGGCTACAAAACCTATTTTATTTAGCCAAAAGGGACTCCAGGCCCTCCCCCCTGCTCCCTTTTACCCTGTCCAAGGAAAAAACAACCAGCCCCCCAGAACCCCGCCCTGGCCCAGACCTAGGGTGCACAGAAGCTCCTTCCTGCCATGGGGCGCAAGCGAGGCTGCGGCACACGGCACACAGCACAAAATGGCAGCCGCCCATGCCCAGCGGTCCCTGCAGCTGTGCACTGCCCGCCCCATGGCATGCCCTCTGGGAACTGCTGTAACTTGCACAGTCGCTCTGACCAGACCACAGGCTCCCTGAGGGCAGGTTCTGTCTCGTGTCCCCTGAGCTGGAGTACCAGCCCCGAAGCTGCCTGCCCTGCCCCTGACCTGTACATCACCTCACGTGGCAAAAAAGTGGGAGGCGGTCCCAGACTACATGGGTGGACCCCACATCCCAGGGGGAGGTGGGGAGTTGGAGCCACATGCTGGCAGACACTGCATGGCCGGCCTGAGGGTAGGGCTGCGAGCCAAGGGTGAGGGCACCCCCAACCAGCTGGAAGAGACAGAGCGTGTGCTGTCCTGGGGCCCAGGAGCCAGCCCTGCCACACCCTGATGCCAGCCCTGTGAGGCCCATTTTCGACCTCTGACCTTTCAAGGTCAGATGATACACCCGTGGGGCTTTAGTCACCAAGGTGGTCATAATTCGTGGCAGCAGAAAGAAGCTGATACCAACGCCCTTCACAGAGCAGGACTCCAGGGAGTGCTGAGTGTTCAAAATGAGCCCTACTAACAGCATTCTGCACCAGGTCAGAAATAGGTGCTCAGACGCCAGGGACAAAGGCTGCCAGGGGCAGAGGACATCCCTGAGGGCAAAGATGCCAGCAGAGCAGGCCAGCCGACCAAGTCAGCCTCACAGGAGGGCACAGCTCAGAGGGCTCACGGGCCGCAGGCCAAGATGCTCCTCAGCGCCGCTTAGATAGAGAGGAAAAGGAGAGCTAACTGCTCACACCATCTCCCTTTGGCTCAAGTCTGAGGGGCGGAATGCTGGCTGAGCACACGGAAGGGCAGAATGGCCCGGAAGGAGGGAGGGGCAAACTGAAGGTCGCCTGGCCACCAACACTGCAATTAACAGAGTTGTAATGGCTCCTAGACAGAGTTGCTGTCTGGATTGCTTTATTATTTTCTATTAAGGGGCCATCAGAATCCATCAACTATCAGAGCGAATTACCACATCCCGCAAGGGAGCTGGACCAAACCCACGGAAAGTACTGTGCTCCCCTCAATAACAGACGCGCCTAAAATTTTCAGTAAACGAGGGCGGACCTGATTGCTCACCCAAATAGCAGGCCTAAGCTGACACGTGGAGCCCACGAGGGATGCCCCATCCCACCTCCCCTGCAGCCAGGCATGCGTGTGGGACGGGCTCCCTGCGAGGCCAGCAGACTGGCAGGGGTTAGACACACCGGGCTGCATGGTGTGACAGGTCCAACAGGTCAACTGATGGGTTACCCTAATTCCACAGGAAACGACCTCACTCGGCACAGCCATCCCAGCTTTGAGCCAACATGGGCCTATACGTCATCCCCCCAGGTGCCTGTGCTGAGCCCAAGTCAGGTACCTCTGACCTGGGCACTGGCTTGGTGCAGAGGGCCCGACAGGAAATAAAAGGACAGAAAGACATCTGGGAGAGAAACCCAAGGTCAGGCACAGCACCACACACAGGCCCACATCAGCGGTTCACAGACCAGCCCGGGGTGCTGTAGATATTCTTACACGCAGAAAATGCCTTCCCAACCCCCAGGTCACTGTGCCGCAATCTGACCGAACACAAACTCCACGTTACTTCGGCATGGCAGAGAGCAGGGTTCGTGGCCCCTCGGCGGGAGCAGGGCTGGGGGGACCTCCCATTTGGTGGGAGAGAGGTAAACAGGCTCTGGTGTGCAGGGGCACAGGGGCATGGACTCACCCGTACACTTGCCAGCTGTCCTCCAGGGAACCTGGAGTGGCCACTACCTGGCAGCCCCATGGCCTCAGTGTGCCCACCACAACCATAAGGAGCGGTGTGCCAGGATGCATGGACCTAGCGAGGCTGGGAACCTAACAGCACCCATGTGCCCACAGTGCTCAGGAGCAGAGGGGACCTGGCACCAGCTCAAAGGGACCCGCCATCCACAACAGCAGCAGCACTGAGCCGCCCGCAATGGTTGGGTGCTCATGGTAAAGGGGCCATCCAGGGGGGTCCGTGAGGCCCAGAGTTCCCCACCCAGCAGGGGTTCGGCTGGAGAGTCCCTCAGACATGGCTTGCCAAGTGCCCAGGTGACACCCAGATGGACAGCAAGGACACAGTACCCCTCGAGGGGCTCCTGCCAGAAAGCCACGCCCAAGTCCCACCACCAGATGCCCCAGCAAGCCCCAAGCGAGGGGGTCCCTTTTCAACACATCAGGGTCACAAGAAACAAGGGCAGATGGGGGACTGGCGCCCGTGCACAGTGCCAGGCTGAGGGATGGCCCAGAGCAGCCTGGAAGGGGCCCTCAGCCCACTGACCACCTGCATTTGGAGATGAGACTGGCCTGCCCCCAACCCAGCCCACCAACTTCGCCTGCTCTGGGGCCCCCACAGCCGGCCACCCTCCTGTCCCTCAGCACACCCGGGGGCTGTACTCAGAAAGGGCAATGTCCCCAGTGACCGTCCCCGGGGCAGGCTTGCCCCCGGCCAGCTGCACTCCGCAGCCCCTATACAGCACTGCACACCAGCCTTCCGGCCTCCCGGCCTCCGGCTCCCCCACTCTTTGCCCCCCACAGCAAGAGCCAGACAGGGGTGGGCGCAAGGCTTCAGGGTGCTGCAGTGGTGATGGCACGGTCTCCCCACATGACCCCCAGGTTGGGGAGAAGCCAGCCTCACCTCCTCTGCCCTCTGTCCGCCTTTGCATGGGGGGCCTCAAGCCGTGGCTCCGGCTCGGCTGCTCCGGGCTGGCATCATCCCACAGTCCGGTTCGTCACTTGTGAGCCTGCCCGCTGTCCTCTGCTGCTTTTCCATTTTCTAGCACAGAAAGGGCACCTGTTACTTCACGTCACACCATTCACGTGTGACGCACATGGTCCTGAGGTAAGTCCCACACCGCGGACAGTGCCAGGTTTGATCAGAAATAGTAACCAAGAGAAAGTGTGGACACATAAAGGACCGGCCCTCATCCGCTCTGGAGCTGTCAGAGATCATAAGGAACTGACTTTTCCTGTAGCCACTATATACTCAAAAAGTGCAATTCAAGGTACATTAGCCAATTTACACGCACTGAAAGGAGAAATATGTGACTTAAAGTGCACTTACCTGTGCCTGGGGGCCTGGAAGCTGTGCTACATCCTGAAGCCTGTGGAGACACACGAGATGGGGATGTCAGCCACACGTGCCACTGCGGGGACCCGCACCCCCGCCTCAGAAGTGGGGCCGTCCATTCACTTCAAGCGACCACACAGAGAATGAGAATTGCTGAGGGTGAAGAACCAGGCTGACCATGGGAATGAGGCCTCGGCGGCAGTTTGGTTGAGCAACACCCAGGGTGTGGGGCATAGGGGGCATGAGGCAGGTGGGGCTCCAGCAGGTGCTGCTGGCGGCCCAGCAGTCAGGAGAAGGGGTGGTTTCAGGGCTGACCTGGAGGGTGGCTGGGGCCCCGGAAGGGCAGGGACGGCAAGCTCCATCACTCAAGGTCTGCGGCTGATGCAGCTTTCGCACCCTGTTAAGTGGACATCGGCATCTTGCCCAGGCCACTGGGTGAACATGCGCTGAGGGCCCCAAAGGGGGTCCAAGCTGGGTTCTGGACACCACGGGCATAAGGACAGTTCTGGCGCAGATGGACAACAGACAGAACAATTGCACAGAGTTTGTGTCGGGACCAGGAAGGGCCGTGGGGTCCCATGTGGGCCTCAGGGTCTCACTGGGCAGCCACCCAGGGAGCACGGGTTAGGGCTGTGGCCTCTGGAACGACTCGGGCATCTGCTCTGGGCAGCGGGAGCGGCAGGACCACCCTCCAGGCTGCTCTGAGACCTCCCAGGCAGCCAGCAGGGTCTGCCTCACACCCAGGGATAGGGCCGTGCGGGCTCAGAGCCCCCTCTGGCCTGCCCACCTCTCCTGGGTCTGCTAGGGGCCCTGAGTCTCCCTGCCCTCCAGGTGGAAAAGTGGGCAGCAGAGCTTGAGTGCAGCCTGCTCCCTTCCAGAGCCAAGCTCAGGGAGGCGCAAGGACCCTGAACACGCAGACGACCTTGGGATCCACACAGTGGCCGCGATGGTGGGAGCTGGCCTGACGGGCATTTACAGGGGAGTCACATTAGACCCAGTTTTCATCCTTGTCACTCTTCAGATATGTCCATAACTGCATTTTTAACTAACTAACCTTTGCAGTTCAATTAACTTGCACAGAAAGGAACAAAGGAAGGGAGGGAGGAAGGAGAAGGGTTGGTTTGGGAAGATGAGCAGGCGTGTCTGAGGCCAGCCTGTGCTGCTGGGCAACGGGGACCCCTGCATCCACACCGTCCCACGCAGCGGCCGCGGAGCCCTGGAGATCCGGCAGGTGTGGCTGAGGAAGCTGCCCATGCATTCAACTTCATTTAATTTAAACTGTGGCTAGTTACACAGTTGTAGACTCTTGACATGAGTTCTCAGACATCAGTGAAGGAAAGACACAAATCCCCAGAGCCTATATTATAGCAGCGGAAGCCAGACAATAAGTAATAAATGCAGCAAAAAGACAAATTACTGAGGTGGCAAGTACTATAAATGAGAGCAGAGAGTCAGGGCACTGGTGGGGGAGCAGGGTAGCCACTGAACATTTCATTGAAAAGGTGACAGATGAGCAATAATAGAACATTATAACAACTTTATGCAAATAAAGTTGAAAATTTATATGAAATTAATAAAGTCCCAGAAAACTAACTCACCAGAACTGAGGCAACAGAAATGGAAAACCTAGAAAGGTCTGCAACCATTCAGGAAGTGGATGGGACAGGGAGAGCCCCAGGCCTAGTACTGAGGATGATTTAGCCAGTGTCCCAGGGCCAAACAAGCCTCTGGGAGAGCCCAACACAGTGACACATGCCAGACCAGCGCCGGGAGGGAAATCGTCGGCCAGGCTCACGGAGCTCGTGCACACACTGAGCCGGGTCCAGCGTGGAGCGGGTCATGCCTGGGAAGCCAGCTTACCCGTAGAAGACAAGGGGGCTACTACACATAAATAAATAAATAAATAAATAAATATTTTATGGCAAAAGATAAAAGGTTGAGATCTTTCTTAAGATGCACAGAAATCAGTTGTTAAAATTCACATCCATTCATGACATAAAAAAACCTAGCAAATTAAGGATAAAAGGAAACTTCTTTAACCTAATAAAAGTACCCTGTTTAGAAAAGACACTAGCACAAGTACCCAAAGGCCAAGCCTGGTGTTCACCGGGCTCTGCTCCTGACGGCCCCCACGGTGCCCCCAGGGGACAGGAGGGTATTCCCAGCAGTGACGGAGATGGGAGGGAGCTCTGTGCTGGGAGGAGGAGGCCTGACACACAGACGGGGCCCAGTTCCCAGCACGCGGGGCCCAGACTAGCCCGGCGGGGCTACAGGGGGTCTGACTGGACGGGGCCTTGGGCCAGGTCACCAACTGCACCAAAATACTGGCGAGCTTTCGTGTAAACTGTTCCTCCATAAAAAGTGTGCTTTACAATTTTTAAAAACCACAACAAACATAATTCCATTGGTGAAACTGGGAAAACAAAACACCAAACTCCTACTTTATTTAAACAGGCATCTTTCCCCACTGCGTCCCCAAATCATCAGTTTCAGTGGCTGGAGGCCAAACGTGAAGGCCACAACCCTGCAGCTTCAGCAGACGCCGGGGAGAAGGATGCGGAGGCCTCGGGCGGGGAAGAGTTACAGGGCAGGAGGCAGGAGGGCGCTTGGCACTTGGGGGCCGCCCTCAGGGTCACTGGGTCACCAAGCACATGGTGGCAAAGCCAGAGTGCAAGGCGCCCACGTGCCCATCCACACCTGCCATGGGGCTGCCACGTCCACTCTCATCCTGTCAGTGGCGGCTCCGGGGCTGAGGGCTCCCGGCACTGCATGGCCCCAAAGCCAAGGGACCTGCTGACGTCCTCCTAGAGAAAGTCTGCCAGCCCTGCTCACACGGGAGAAAACCTGGAGAAGCATCCCCCTTACGAGGGGTGCAGCCATCACCGGGCGGGCGCATACCCTGCCAGCCACGGAGCATGTCCCACCGAATCCCGGCACACCTGCCTCTGGAGTCACACACGGGAACCCGCTAAGTCGCCTGAACAACCCCCACACCCACCCACGAGCTGCGAGGGTGCCTGCAGCAGTCACATCGGGGACGCACACCCAGCCAGGCCAGTGCGGGTCACACGGTCCGTGGCCAGGGACCCCAGGTCTCCCGGGAAGCCCAGGGGATGCAGTCTTTCCCCAGCCCAGCACTGACACATTTGAGTCTTGGCAACACCAACTCACTGAGGAAAATGTACCATAATTTCCTAATTTGCAGTAATTTAAGCGAAATTTAAAATTGGAAAAGAAACATAGTAGAAACAGAACTTGGTACTGTGCTGATAATAATGCCTCATTCAGTCCAAGTCCTATGCAGCTCTGGGGCCCCTGATTGAAGGGGAGTCTGACAAGGTTCTGTCTTCACCGAAATACACTGGAAGGCCCACTCTCGGGCGGCCTATAACAGAGGGTCAGTGGCCACCGCGTCACATGTGGAAACCACTGAGCCCCTCAAAGCTGACCAAAGGCTACAGGCCACAGACTGGCCCCAAACGGCCCAGGGTAATTTCTCATTGCACATGACATGTACATATAAACAAAAGTTACAATTTTATCAAGACTAAAAGAATAATTTCTAAAAAAAATACAAAGCCAAAACTACTGAGACATTTTCCATGGTCCAGGTTGGCGCTCGTGAGTCGCTGCTCCCTCCTGGCCCAGGGGCACAGGGCTCTGCTCTCTGGCCCTGTTTCCTCGGACACGGTGCTGCCACCCATACGCCCAGAGTGGCGGCCAATGAGGATGGATGTGGCCGCAGGGCTGGATTCTACTCCTCCGGAGGCCCATCCGAAAAGCAACCCGAGAGGCCCGTGGAGGGACCTGGCTGGCGACAGTCCCCGCACTGCTCTAATCCCCCAAAGGCGAGGCATGGTTCACTGCACAGACAACGGGCAGTGTGCTTACAGGCACTCTGCTTTTGCTCTGGGGTCTGGCATGTGCTGTGTGCCAGGCAGAGGCTGCCTCTGACCAGCTGACACTCCCAGGATGCTGGGCTCTGTGCTGCAAGCTCCCCTGGGTGCCAATGCATCCCACACTGTCACCCCAGCTCAGGCTGGGGACTCAGGGTACTCGGGAGCTGGGCCCGGCTCCCCTGGCTGGCACCTTTCCTTTGCCGATTCTGAGACACACGCAGCCACCAGTGTAAGGAGTCCAGAACACCCCGATGGGAATGCCCCACACCTGGCTGTCATGCTGCAGACCCACTCTGACCAGAGCCCTCTCCTTGCCCGTCACCCCAGGCACTCCTGGTGTTGCTGTCCGATGCCCTTGGCCTGCCTGACATGACCCAGCCCCTGCTGGCCCCTGGGTCTCAGCCCTGCAGCTCTTCTACAGAACCTGCCCAACGAGCTTGTCTCCAACCTGTGCTTTCCCGTGGGCTCAAAGAGGGCCAGAGGCCTGGCCCTCCACAGGCACCCTGACGTGGCCCCCCAGCCTGCCTGCCACCCCTGCCTGGCCTCGTGAGCCCTGTGCTCACACAGCAGCTACGGGGCCCTGCTCCTCCTCCCTGGGGGCAGGCGGCAGCTGCCTCCTCCTCTGGTCTGCCCGTGGACAGGCACACCATCCTCCTGTTGTACAAGGGCTCTGACCTGCCAGCAAGGCTTCCTTGTTCCAGAACCTTCCAACCTCTGTCCTCTCAGTGAACATGAACAGCTCCAGCCCAGCCCTGCAGATCTCAGCCCTGAACCTCTCTGGTGCAGCCCCGCCACGGTGGCCACAGCAGTTCAGGCCCTCCACCTGCTCTGCCTGGAAACTTCCAGAGGGCGTGGGTGATGTGTCTCTTCACACCTTTTGGGTGCACACTCAACCCCAGGGGCACTCTCTGGAGCCAAGAGGCCCTTCCTTGCTGTCCATTCAGCTCAAACCAGCCCCCGAATCAGCCTCCTCAGCCACAAACACCTCCCGCAGGTCACTTGGCTGCCCGGGCTGCCCTCCCCCGACCCCGTGAGCACCGTTTAGAGGGTACTTTCCTGCCTCCCCAAAGTACACCTACCTCACCCATCATTACCCTTTAGACAAACACACTGGGTGTCACAGTAAAACAGTAATACATACGTTCGTTAAACACAGTTCGGAAAGTAAAGACTGATAACCAGGAAAACCCCTACACCCTCATTGTCCCAAACACCCTCGTTGTCCCAAGCTAACTGCCGTTCTCAGTGTATCGGTGTGTGTGAGCCCACAGGTACTTCCAAATGCCACAGGCGCCCTCGTTTTTCACTGAGGCATCATGCTCACACTGAATGCGGTGCATGGTTTCTCTACCTAATAAGCTGTCATGGGCATCTGACCCCCCTCCCAAAGCAACCAGGCTCCCGGGTTCGGGGCCTCAGGTCATGGCCAGTCACGGGGGTTACATCCCTATCCACAGACACAGCGCACAGAGGCAGTTCTGTGGCAAGTGGGCCCCTGCTGGCCATGCCCTTAGCAGGGCCAGCCCCAACCTCCCACCCTTGCCCTCCACCTGCAGCCCAGACCCTCAGGCCCGCCTCCTCACGCAGGTGCACGCCAAGCTCCTTGTTTTCTTTTGTTAACCGTGTCTTACAAGCACCTTAAAACTTTCTACTTATTTTTGAATTAGTTTTGCGAAGTTATATTTTTCTGGAAGATGGTTCATCAAATTTATTGGCACAAAACTGTCCATAATCTCTTGTAAACTTATTAAACAGCGTCACTTACGAATATTGGACAAATGATGAACTGCACGTGATTCAAAGCTGTGCTGGCCCCCGTGGAGAAGCCAGGACGAGGCCGCCAGGGCCCTGCAGACCTGGCGCGCTCAGGATGCTCTGCAAACGGGCTCACGCAGGACATGCCGTCTGGTTCCTTTTGCTCAGTCCGCTGTGAGATGCGCCACACTCCGCGTGCACAGACAGAGCGTCCTTCTTATCCAGAGCGGCGGCTGCCGTAGCTCTGCCAGTCTGCTCAACCATCGCAGACGGACTCTGGGCCATTTCCTTTGGCGCTGCCAGAATGGGGCTGCTGTGACTGTTCACGGTCCTTGTGTGGACAGATGCTCTGGATTAAATGCCCAAGGGGGCGGTCACATGCTTGTAGGTCAACCGTGTAAGAAACTGCCAACCTGCCCTTTCCCCAGCCACAACTGAGCCCTGGCTGCCCTGCAGGGTCATCCTTCCTTCCTGCCTGCCTCCCACACCGTCCTCCCTAGGCCTGCCCTTCCTCCCCAGTGCCATATCCTTTGGGGCCTCAGTGCCCACGACCACTCCCTGGATGATGCCATGGCTCCCTCTGGACAGCAGTCCACCTGGGCAGGGTCCCCATGCCCACTCCTGCCACCAGTCTCCCTCCGGACAGATCTGAGCAACATTCAGAAAAGCAAGTCAGACCCTCAAAGGGATCCTGACTCCTGATGAGCCATGTTCAGTTTCCATGCTCCAGCCCCACCCATGGCAGCGCTGTCCACGTAATGACCTGTCCATGTCAGGGCTCCGCCCACATCAGCCTGTCCATGTAATGACCTGTCCACATCAGGGCTCCACCCACATCAGCCTGACCACGTCGGGGCTCCGCCCACATCAACCTGTCCATGTAATGACCTGTCCATGTCAAGCTCCATTCCAGGGCCTGTCCGGGTCATGACTATTCATGTCAGGCTTCCTCCAGCCAGCTCTGTCCACGTCAGATCGTGCCCTTCTTAGCTGTGTGTGAGCAGCTCCCACTGGCCTGGGCGTCCATCCTCAGCAGGGCAGGGAGGCTCCTGGGCAGCCACTGGAGACCCCTGAGTCTCTGGCCTGAAACCGGCGGCTGCCGTGCCCCCTGTGCCTCTGTCACCTTCCTCAGGGAGCTGTGCCCCATCTGCTGCCCCCACCAGCGGGACTGAGGCTGTGTCCTCACACGAGGCTGGCCACGTCCAGCAGAGCGCCCACCCTACCACCGGTGCTCAGGAGGTAAACGCTGTTCTGCCAGAGAGGTTTCTGCCCTTGTCTGAGTATCCCAGGAACTGTGATGACTCATTTTCACACAAAACCCACCAAACTGCTGAACTCTGCCCACGCCCATGTCCTTCCACAGACCAACCTGCTGCAACCTGGGACGCTGACGTCCCGGCCACTCCTCCCCACCCAAACCTGAGCGAGGTGCCTCCGTGCCCCGACTCACCTCTGCCTCTTGTGCCTCCCGGAGCCTGTGTGAGGTCATGGCAGCACCGGAGGCCAGCAGGTGCACGAGAGGCCTGCCCTTTCTGCCTGGTCCACCATGGCCTTTTCTGTACAGGCTTCCTGAGCCCACAGCCCTGCCACCTGGACCACTGCCTCTCACCACTCTCCCCATGGCACAGCTTTCATCCTCGAACTGTCGGTACAAACGTGTGGGCAACTTGGTGACCAGAGACGCAGTGATCACAGTGGGATGGAGGCACGTGGCTCAGCAGCACCGCAGCCCCACATCAAGGGCAGCCCACTGCCACACTGAGCCCTTGTAGGCACATCCTGTGGTCCAGCCACACTAGCCCCTGCAGCCTCCCACCTCCACACTGATCCCTCCAGATCACACTTCCTGGACCCAAATCCAGACACCAGCCCTCACACTGCGCCTGGACACAGCTGTCTCCTTCACCCTGCACCCCACCTGTGTGGCAGCTTCTCCCCTGGGAGCAGCTCAAGTGCCATCCCGGCTCCTTGCTCCCCTTGGCCCAGAAGCTCTGAGCCAGCCCCACTCCAGCAGCTGTGGGCCTGCTAGTCTTGAATGTCCCAGGGGCATGCCCGCCTCTGGCCCTCGCACTCATGTGCCGCCTGCTGCAACAGTCTATCAGACGGCCACATGGCTCCTCACCTCCATCAAGCCTTTTCTCAAATGTCACCTCCCCAGCAATATCGTGCCCTTCTTAGCTGTGTGTGAGCAGCTCCCACTGGCCTGGGCGTCCATCCTCAGCAGGGCAGGGAGGCTCCTGGGCAGCCACTGGAGACCCCTGAGTCTCTGGCCTGAAACCGGCGGCTGCCGTGCCCCCTGTGCCTCTGTCACCTTCCTCAGGGAGCTGTGCCCCATCTGCTGCCCCCACCAGCGGGACTGAGGCTGTGTCCTCACACGAGGCTGGCCACGTCCAGCAGAGCGCCCACCCTACCACCGGTGCTCAGGAGGTAAACGCTGTTCTGCCAGAGAGGTTTCTGCCCTTGTCTGAGTATCCCAGGAACTGTGATGACTCATTTTCACACAAAACCCACCAAACTGCTGAACTCTGCCCACGCCCATGTCCTTCCACAGACCAACCTGCTGCAACCTGGGACGCTGACGTCCCGGCCACTCCTCCCCACCCAAACCTGAGCGAGGTGCCTCCGTGCCCCGACTCACCTCTGCCTCTTGTGCCTCCCGGAGCCTGTGTGAGGTCATGGCAGCACCGGAGGCCAGCAGGTGCACGAGAGGCCTGCCCTTTCTGCCTGGTCCACCATGGCCTTTTCTGTACAGGCTTCCTGAGCCCACAGCCCTGCCACCTGGACCACTGCCTCTCACCACTCTCCCCATGGCACAGCTTTCATCCTCGAACTGTCGGTACAAACGTGTGGGCAACTTGGTGACCAGAGACGCAGTGATCACAGTGGGATGGAGGCACGTGGCTCAGCAGCACCGCAGCCCCACATCAAGGGCAGCCCACTGCCACACTGAGCCCTTGTAGGCACATCCTGTGGTCCAGCCACACTAGCCCCTGCAGCCTCCCACCTCCACACTGATCCCTCCAGATCACACTTCCTGGACCCAAATCCAGACACCAGCCCTCACACTGCGCCTGGACACAGCTGTCTCCTTCACCCTGCACCCCACCTGTGTGGCAGCTTCTCCCCTGGGAGCAGCTCAAGTGCCATCCCGGCTCCTTGCTCCCCTTGGCCCAGAAGCTCTGAGCCAGCCCCACTCCAGCAGCTGTGGGCCTGCTAGTCTTGAATGTCCCAGGGGCATGCCCGCCTCTGGCCCTCGCACTCATGTGCCGCCTGCTGCAACAGTCTATCAGACGGCCACATGGCTCCTCACCTCCATCAAGCCTTTTCTCAAATGTCACCTCCCCAGCAATGCCTTCTGCAACCACCTTGTTTATAACTGTATGCACACATGTGTGCAAAGACACACACAACTCGAAGACAACCCCTGAACTGGTAATGTAGGTATCTTGTCAGCGCCCATCTCCCCACATGACAAGTGAGCAATATTATAGGTTCAACAGAGAAGCTATGTAATACGGTTAAGAAATCTTCCCAGAGAAGGATGAGAAATGTGAGGGAACAGGTCCTACAATTAACTAGCAGGTATTTCAAAAAATCAGAAAACTGAGAGAAAGAGCTTTCAAACACTTTGATCTGTTCCCTCTGAAGCAGGACATCAGTTTACCAGGGAAGGTGTCTGCTGGGTCATCCTTTGCGCTTGCCTGTGGCAAGTTACTGATCTGGAAAAACTTACTCGAGCATTTCCGTAACTGGATGCATCAGCCACAAGGGCCCAATGCCCAACCATGGCACGTGCAGGTGACCCACGTCCAACCATGCCCCTTCAGTCTCTACACTGAAGTGCAAGAAGGGTCGCAGAGGCTCCTGGGAAGAGGTCCCACACAGAAGGGCAGTCAGAGGGCACCAGGCTTCTTGTCAGCAACCATGAATTCTGCGTCTCCTGGAGTTCTGCGGGACTGACTAGCAGAATCCTTCATCCAACCAGCCCACCAGCTAAGCACGAGCAGAAGCCACGGTGTGTCCAGGCATCCCAGGAAATGCGCTTGCTCATTCAGTATGTGCCAGGAGGTGTGCTCACACATCACCGCAGGCCTGCACTCACACACTCCTGCTCCAGCCAGCGACGAGATGTGACACACGCGTCAGCCAAGGGATGAGGGCCTCAAGAACGGCGAGCCCGGAAGGCAGAGGGCAGAAGGCTGCTCAGGCAGCAGGCGCAAGTGCACTCAAGCGACATCTGAGCTCTGACCATGGGAAGTGCACCCACGGAGGGTCAGGAGCAGCAGGCACCCACCAGCCTGGAGGACCAAGCATCCAGAGGGGATGCGGATAGGGACGGGGACCTGGGCTGACACCATCCTGAGAATCTGGAGCAGACATGGTAACACCAGGCAAGGTGAGGAAAAGAGGGAGGCGAGACTGGAATGTAGCTGTATACAGACAATATTTACACACCACATCGATTTTTACCTCTCAGATTCAACCTCTGGAGAAGCTTGAAACACGCACAGTGAAAGGGGCTGTCAGACCTCAAGATTCTACTGGGGGCGGCTGATGAGGCTGCTCAGCTGCAGACAAGACACGTGCCTTGTCATTAAAAAGGTGGGCTCAGGGTGGAAACGACAGCCCCAGAGAGCAAAGCTGGGAGCCAGCAGGTCCCAAGATGCAAACCCAGTCAGGACCCTGGTATGGGCTTCAGAACTGAGCTGGACCCTGTCACCTCCCCTTCCAACTGGACGGCTGCACCTGCTGCCCTGGGCCTGTCCTGCTGTCCTAGGGTCTCAGGTGCTGAGGAACCGCACCTACCTACAGGACCACACCAGATGACGGAGGACCACTGGACGGGAGCTAATGCAGTTTAGGTGAGAGTCAGGACTTGAGCTGATGCTGCAGTGAGGCCCTGGGGAGCGTCAGAATGGAAAGGTATGTGCTGCACTTGAGGGGATGTGAATTTGGGAGGCCAGACAGCAGACTGTGGCAGGCAGCTTTCAGAGGTGGCCCCAAGATTCAGGCCCTGGTGTGCACATACCTCCTCCCTTGTTGGCCTAGGTGCTGGTGCAAAAGCGTTTCTGAGGATGTAACTAAGGTCCCGGATCAGCTAGCCTTAGACTAGGGCTGGTACACAATGGCCTGACCGAGTTGCATGGCCTTTCAAGGCAGAGTTCTCTCAGATGTTGGCACTGGAACAGGTCAGAGGAATGAACTCTGTGGCCTGCAGAAAGCAAGGAGCATGTCAACTGCCCACGCCCTCGGGCAGGGACTCAAAGGTCTCTCGGAGCTGAGGGCAGTCCCCAGATGTCAGCTGGCAAAGAGCAGGACCCCAGGGCTACAACCACAGCATATGGCTTCTACCAACAGCCAGTGGGTCAGAGAGCACCCAGCCCCAGATAAGAGGCTGGTCAACGTGACCGCAGCCTCGGAGGCCCTGA